AAGGATGCCAGAATAAGAAAAATTATATGCAAGTTGTGATCTAAGCAGATCCTCACAAGTAAAGGAATACAGAAAAACAAAAAGTATACACAGCTATTCTCTCTGATTACCTTATTTAAAGGCTGACTGGTACATTTTGAAGCGCTGCAGGCTAACAATTTTTGTGTGGGCTTCTGTCCCAATTCTAGACTTTCTGGACCAGCAGGAAAAGTTCACGACTTGTGTTACTAAATTAACCCTAGCAGCAAAGGCAGCCTTCATTCATAAAATTCTGACTTTGTTTGTGGTGTTAAAAATACCTTTTGGTCAATTGGTTTACAGGATGCATGAAAATAGAGGCCTTCATGAATGCGAACCCCGCCTCCCCCCACCTGGGTAGCGCATATTGTTGGCCTTACTGGTCAAGAATGGTCCCTTACCTGCTTAGCTAAAATTTAGGGAGAACACTGCCTTTCTTTTCTCTATTAATATTGCAATAACACTGTTCAAAGGACAATACAGTAACACTGTTATGTGTTTATATAATGTATTTCTCCTATTTAGGGTATTACATGCACAGTCTCTACTGAAAGTTTAATTCACAAAATGGGTTTAACTAAGGAAAAGAGCTGCAACAGTTAGTGTTCTAAATGTTACATCTCTTTATTGAGTTTCATCTACCTTACTCACTAAGGTGATACAGTGTAATTATTTTTGTACAAGAACATTATTTTAACGAACATAAACCTGATCTAGGATTTCAAAAATCAGTTGTCAGTTACCAAATGTGGGTAGATGACTCCTTCATAATGAGATAATAGTTATCTTTTAATTCATAGTTTATGCCTCTGATGTACTGATTGTTTCTACTACTTTAGCCAGCTCATCTTTGCAATCTCCCTGGTACTCCCTGAGAGAAGATTTTAAAAAATCAATCACTTGAGCCCCTGGTAATGCATTGCTTAAGTTAAATTGTGAGTGGGTTTCCAAGGCATCATACAGTTTTAATGTCAATAAATAAATTGATGTTTTACCAAGACGAGGCAAATCGCCATAACGAGCTGCTTTCAAATATTCTGACACATCTGGAATAACACTAGCTTGCATTTTTTCTTGTATTGCTGCAACTGTCATCCTTTCACTTAGAGTTAAAATATCTTTAAAATGTTTCTGTGTTGCTACACCAACCACTTTTAACTGACCCTCAACCCAACAAAGAACTGGACCACCAGAATTACCTGAGTTAAGAGGGCAGTTTAACACTGCCATTGTATGACCCTGAAGTGTTTTCTTGGAACCAGAAACATAGCCATTCACAAACAGAGCTGTGTCTTCGGTGTGGCTGATAGAGAAACCAAAAGAGAAAACTTGCATGCCTGGTAACAGTGGCTGATTTGACAACTGCAATGGGTGAATTGGATTCATTTCTAGATCTTGACAATACAGAAGTGCTAAATCTTTACCTGCATCATAGTGAGCAATTTTACAAGGAAGTTCATGTTCACCCAAGGCTGCATTGGAAATTAGAATTCGAGTTTTGTTACTGTTATCATTAAGTGCAGATTCAATGACATGCTTGTTAGTGATAACAAAGTGTTCCTGAAGGATAAAACCAGAACCATGCTCAATTTCAACAATAGCAGTGGCTTCATCATACTCTTTTTTAATAGCAGCTCTTTCCTTGTCAACCAACTTTCTCTTGTCATCAGCTTCAGGCCCTTCTTCTTCTGGGTACTTATCAAGCTTTTTTGAATCAAAATACCTGATGGCACTTTGAATGTCAAAAATATTGTATGTCTGGTCAATCTTTTTCTCACCATTTTCAACACTTTTACTGGCAAATATATCGGTGTAATCACATACAAAACTACCAGCAAAGCAATCTCTTACTCGCCGCTCAGCCTCACTACGAGTATATCTGCGCTTGACGTTGTTGGCTTTGTCTTGCTGGTACTCTTTTTCCAAATCAGTTCTGTGTGCATTAATATTAATGCCTTCAATTGTGCAGATCCAGGCCCATCACTAGGATATTTTTCAAAGAGAACAAAATTTGAAGATGTACGTAAAAGGACATCAGATGATTTTCTTGGGTGATAAAATTTCTTCCCATCGCTTTTACAAAGTGTTCTACAAATATCAAAAATGTCATAAATCTTTTGGTCATGATGCCCAACTTCCCTAGGGAAATCGATACACTCAATGAACATCCAAAACAATAACAGGCACTTACTCGTTCTAGTGCTTCTTTTTCTGAGTATTTACGCCGCTGTTGGTAAATATCTGTACCACTACCACAGACAGTTTCTGCATACTCTTTGTCAACATTAGCCCTTTGTTTCTTGACTTCTTCCGACATTTTACACCATTCACAACCTTAAAATTTCTCAATATTATTCACAAAATTTACACCATCATGTTTGCAAAATGCCTCATAAATGTCACTAACAGAGTATGTTTCACTTTTGTACATGTACATGTGTTTAGGCAGTAATGATGCATCCCCCGCAAAAGTTCCAGCAAA